CCCCAAAACCCCAAAACCCCAAAACCCCATAGATGGCAAGTGCGATTTAAATCAATAAAGAGAGAAATTAATTTATATATAGGTGAGTTATTATAATAATAAGAAGTTTGTTAAAAATGTTTTCAAAGCTTATCACAAACATACTACCAAATAACTGGCGCTCTGATTAGCTATAGAAAAGTGAGGAAACTGATTCAAAGGATGAGTTGAAATAAATTCAGAAAAATGTTGCAAGACTCTGTCAAGATGATATATTTAAAAGAATGAAAGAGTAATAGTAGGAAATAGAGTAAAATGAGAAAATTTAGTACTAGAATCTGACAAGATCATAAAATACTAACAGCAAATATGACAGAGATGGGCAACTTGAGTGAACTCAAAGATAGCAAATACAGTGTTTTCTAGATGAAATAGACAAGGAGGAGGAGGATGAAGATCGAGAATTGATGAATGAGTGGACTGTCATCAAAAATTAGTAAACAAAAACTTAGAAGCAACAGATAACTAACCCAAATGAAGCTTAGGTTGATTACATATCAAGCAGGAGTAATTTTCAAAATGGTTAGTCTCCTTAAAAGCATCAAATGAAGTAGATTGATCCAAAAATTATTAAATCAAGTAGCTTTAACAATTCCAGCGCAAAAACAAAAAGCCGCACCTATGAGATTTAGAGGAACTCAATAAATGATAGAAATTATGATGAAAAATACAGAGAGAAAGCCATTAAAGATGAGCTTGAAGACTGGAATGCTCACGATAATAGCGAAAAAAGAATAAAAGAGAACAGGAAATTTCCCAAAAAGCCTTCTAAATACGATGGAATTGATCTTAATTATGTTGATAAAAGCCTTTTGTTTTCTAGTGAGCATATTCCATTATCAGAGAATGAATGGAAAGATTGCATTAGTCTTTTAAAGGATGTACGAAAAATATCTAGGGATAGATTGAAGCTATCTTTAGTGAAAGGTATCCCCCCTCATCTTAGAGGTGATATATGGTGTCTGCTGTGCAATCACCCATTTGAGTCTCTAAATCATGATCCTAGGATATATGTGAAACTGCTCAGTATGACGAATGAAAATGATAGTTATAATATAACGAAGGATCTAGACAGGACTCTACCAGAGCTTAAATTATTCAATTAGGATTATAAGACTGGGAAAAATACTCTATACAATGTTTTAAAAGCTTATTCCTGTTATGACAATGAAATCGGATATGTCTAAGGTATGAACTATGTCGCTGCTATACTGTTGATATAGATTAAAGATGAAATTAAAACATTTTGGTGCTTGAATAGTTTATTGCATCGAAAGAATTGGAGAATGATTTACAACAATAATACGCCAAAGCTAGTTAATTTACTCGAATTAGTAAGATAGAGAGTTGCATCAGATGATCCAATTTTACTTAGACATATTGAGAGTTAGGGTTTATCTATGGTATCTGCATTTGCTCCAATTTTCATTTCCCTATTTACCTACTAAGTACCTCTACCTATAGCTACTAGGATTTTTGAGTATTTCATATTCGAGGGTGAAACTGCGTTACTCCGAGTGCTATTTAAGATGCTCTAGTATAAGAGAGAAAAGATTATTTCACTCGATGAATGCGAACTTTAAAATTATTTAAGAGCTGGTATGATCGTAGAATGCGCTGAAGAACTAAAAATTGAAGAGCTTTTAGACTATTGATTTGGCTAATCAAAAATTTTAGTAAGTTGAACAAAATTTTTCATAAGTGACTCGATTTGATATTATTATAAGAACGGTAATGATTCATATTTTAAGAAATCAACAAATATTAGATTTTAAGATTTAATTCTGGGGTTTTGGGGTTTTGGGGTTTTGGGG